GGATGGGCACGGCTGGGCTGAGCCCAGCCCGGGGGCAGGGGGCGAGGGGCTGCCAGCGTCCTCCTGGTGTCCCTGAATCGCAGGCCCATTGGGATGCTGGCTTCTGATTCTTTGCAGGAGGGGGGCAGGCCATCCATGGCGGCCGCCCTGGGGGAGGACCTGGCCCAGGCCCCTGATACCCAGGATGACTCCAGCTCCCTTGGCTCAGACTCGGAGCTCAATGGTCCAGGACCCTACCGCAGGGCTGACCGGCACGGCTTCATCGGGGGCGGTGCCAAGCCCTCAGAGGCAGGGTGAGTTGGGCAGGGGAAGGGCTGAGGCCTCCCTCGCTCAGTCAGAGATCTGGAGAAGGGGACGTCCTGGGAATCCAGGCGAAGTCAGATTGCATGGAATTCATCATTTGAGGCTCAGGGGTTGCGTGGAATTCAGTGTTTCTTGCAACCCAGGGTATACAGAGCCTAGTGGGTTAGGGTTAGGGGCTAGGGGGAGGGTGGGGAGAAAGTCGAGATAAGACAGAAGACAGGGGTGCTAGAGAATCAAAGTCAGGAGATCACAGGACCCTAGCTTTCGAGTGGGAAGAGACATTCAAAGGTCCTCCAGATGAGGAGGCGACCAGGGACTAGAGAGAGGAAAGGGATTTTTTAGGCCTCAGTCTCCTCATCTGTAAAATGGGTGTGAGCCAACCACTAGGCCCACTCAAATCTGTCCCTCCTTCAGGACGGTGGCAGAGGTTATTGGGAATAGTGCCAGTCTCTCGTCAGAGAGAATAGTGAGGGCATAGACAGGCAGGAGATGGACAAAGCCTAATGGGGCTGGAGGTTTAAGGGAGATGGGCTTAGGGGTGGGCATGTGTGCTGGGCCCAGTTGGTGAGGCAGGTGAAGGGGTCTTGGGGGAAAGCCATGACACCCAGGAGCAGATAACATGGCCCCCTCTCTGTGCTTGGCAAAGTCCGTAGGCCAGAGAGACTCATCTGTGGAATGGGCATAGTCAGGCCTGGAGTGGCCCAGAAACAGACAAGCAGCTCCCCAGCCCCTGCCCCCAGCTCCCTCTGCTGCTAGGCTTAGCCTTAGGCTGCCTGGTCCAGCTCTCTTGGCCTCTGTTCTGAGATGGCCCAGCAGGGAGGGGGAACTGGGCCATATCCCCTCCCTCTTCCGACCACACTCCAAGCCACATCCTTCCCATTACTGTGACAACAAGAGAGACTCAGGTTAGCTGCACCCCTCCCCCAGCCATGGGACAGGGACCTGTCTGTAGACAGAAGGGGACAATAATGACCATGGGGGGGGCCTGTCCTATCTGACCCCTTAGCCCAGGGCAACCTCCGCTGGAGCTGATCCGGCAACGAGAAATGAAGTGGGTGGAGATGACATCTCACTGGGAGAAGACCATGTCCAGGCGGGCCAAGAAGGTGAGGGCCCCAACAGGGGAGCCTGAGGGAAAGCTGGGCCTCCATTTCACTCAGCGAACATTTTTTTTTTGTTTTTTTTGTGAGGCACTTGGGGTTAAGTGACTAGCCGAGGGTCACACAACTAGTAAGTGTCAAGTGTCTGAGGCCAGATTTGAACTCAGGTCCTCCTGACTTCGGGGCCGATGCTCTATCCACTGCACCATCTAGCTGCCCCTCAGTGAACGTGTATTAAACGCCAACTATGTGCTGGGCCCTGGGAATAGGAAGAGGGCCAGGGATCTGGGGTTTCATTGGTATATGGAACTCCCAGGACTGTGCCCACGGGGCTGGAGGCATCGTTGAAACTCAGGGGTCTTGGAGAGTCACTGGAAGGTCACCGCTGGTATATCTCAGGTTTGGGACTTGAATCCAGGCCATCTGGTTTGGGGGCTAGCTCACTTTCAGTCCAGATATTTAGGAAGCACCCGCTATGTGCCAGGCACGGGGGGTAGGAGGAAAAGCAAAAACAGCGCGTGTCCTCAGAGAGCTCATAGTCTGATGGGGAGACAAGCAAGCAGGGACAGACAGGCTCTAGACAGGATAAACAGGACGTAATGGGGGGGGCACTGGAATTAAGGGGGGGTGGGGAAGGCTTCCCGGAGAAGGGGGGATTTTAGTTGGGTCTCGAACGAAGCTGGGGAGGTTGGAGGAGAGGAGGGAGAGTGTTCCATGCCTGGATGGCCGTCAGAGAAAAGGCCTGGAGCCCGGAGGTGGAGGGGCTTGTTGGAGGGACAGCAAAGAGGTGGCAAGAGGTGATAACCTAGCACCTGCACTTAGGGTGGTGGCTCTGTGAGCCGATACAAGAAGGAGAGCGTGGACAAGCCTCAGAAACTAACTGGAGAAGGGAGATGAGACAAAGGGGTGGGGCTGAGGATGACTGAGGTTGGGAGGAGAGCCTGGGAACTGGGAGAAACATGGTGGCCAGGACAGAAATAGAGACAGGAGGAGGAGACCCAGGTTTGGGGGTGGGTGTGGAATGAGGAGTTCTATTTGAACTGTGAGATGCCTATGAGACATTCAGCTGTGGATACCCAGCAGAGCTTTGCTTATATGGGTCTAGAGCCAATTAAGAGAGAAATCGGGTAGCTAGGTGGCACAGTGGATACAGCACCGGCCCTGGATTCAGGACGACCTGAGTTCAAATCCCACCTCAGACACATAACACTTACTAGCTGTGTGACCCTGGCCAAGTCACTTAACCCCATTGCCTAGCCAAAAAAAAAGAGAGAGAGAAATTGGGGTGGCCTATGTAGATTTTAGATTCATTTTCACAGAGTTGAGAATTGAACACATGGGGGCAGATGAACTCACTTAGAAGAGAAGAAGAAGAGAGGAGAGAAGGCCTATGGCGCAATCTTGGGGACCCACAGGCTTAGCTGAAATGAATGATGCCCCAGCAAAGAAGTTGGAGAAAGAGAGGCCACGGAGAAGAGCATTGTGGAGGCTGAGGGAGGAGAGAGTCATCACATGTAGCTGGGGAGTGTTAGAGGGTCGGGTCATTTTGGAGGATGAGGACAGAAAAGGCCACTGGCATCAGCAAGTAAGAGAAGAGTGTCCGTGGATTATTGGGGTTTTGAAGTCTCATCGCTATGAGTGTGATGAGGGCAGGTAGTTTGTTTTTGTTTGTTTCTAGGAGTTTGGTAGTAAAAGGGAGGAGAGATATAGGATGATGACTTGAAGAGAAGCTTGTAGGTTTTTTTTTTTAAGGAGACAGAAAAAAAGAGAGAAAGAAGAAAAAAGGAGAGGGAGGGAGAGAGAAAGGGAGAGAAAAGGAGAGAGTTAGTTGATTGGTTGGTTGATAGGATGAGACTGAGGCGGCAAGACCCTGGAGGAGGTGGGAAGGGATGAGATCTTGGACACAAGTACAGGGTTGGCCTTCTCGAAGCAGTGGGGGGGCTGTCAGTTTTTCAGATCCTGGAGCTGGAGGAGAGGGTGCAGGGGAATGGAGAAGGGTGTGGAGAAGGGGAGGAGAGGGAGCTCATGAGGATGGCCTTGGTTGTTTCAGGAAAATCATAGTTGAGGTGCTCTGCTCTGTTGAGAAGGTTTATAAAGATGAGTTTTAATTTGGACAGGTCGAGCTTAAGACGTCCACTGGACATCCAGTTCAAGATGCCTGAAAGGCAGTTGGAGATGGGAGACTAGAGGTCAGCAGAGACTGGGACAGGATGGGTAGATCTGGGAATCATCGGCATAGAGAGGGTCATTAAATCCATGGGAGCTGAGCAGATCCCCGAGTGAAGCCGTCTAGAGGGAGAAGGAAAGAGGGCCCAGGACAGAGCCCTGAGGGAGCCCTGTGGTTAGAGGGCGGGATCTGGAGGAGGTGCAGCCAGAAGACAGAAGGAGCCGTCAGAGAGGGAGGAGGAGAACCAGTGAGGGGAGGGGGTGTCCCAAAAACCTAGAGAGAAGAGAGGATCAGGGAGGAGATGATGATCAACAGTTCCAGAGGCTGCCGAGAGGGCAAGGAGAATGAGGATGGAGAAAAGGCCACTGGATCATTGGTCACTTGGGAGAGGGCAGTTTCCATGTAATGAGAAGGTCAGAAGCCAGATTGTCAGGGGTTAAGAGGACAGTGAAAGGAGAGACAGTGGAATTGGAGATGTGGGAAGTTTTCCTGAAAGCCAAGGCCTCCAGGGACCAAAAAAGGCTGGGAGGACAAAATAAAAGGATTACTGTGCAACAGGGAGAGCCCAGCTGAGGGGCAGAAGGTGAAACCGTTGTGGGCGCAGGCAGCAGGGCTGTGTGACTTCCTTCCATGGCTTTCACAAGGAGGAGTGGAGAAGGCATGTGTGTGGGGGGGTCCGGGGGCCAGGGCAACGACTGAAGTCTAAAGGATGGTGCCAGTGGAACCTCTGGAGCTGAGAGATGAGGACACTGATTAAGATGGGGAGGGAGTGTTTCAAGATCATCCAAATGGGTATTGAACTCCCCAGTGTGAGGGCAGGACTTGGGCTGGTGAGGAAGGCTGGCGGCCAGTCCCCAGCCTGGGCCCCATCCGTGGGGGTGGGCGGGGCTCCCTACGGCCCAATACCATTCAGTTCATCAATCTGAGCTGGGAAATCTGTGCTGAGGGGACCTCAGGGGCTCTGACCCTTCTAATGCTTACCCGGACTGAAAGTTCAGTATCCCAAGTGGGATCATCCAGCCTCAGTTTCTAGAGCTTGATGAAGGCCTTTTTGCCCTAAAAGCACCTACTGTGTGCAGGGCCCTATGCTGGGTTAGACAGGGTCCTGAGCTCAGAGAGCTCCCAGTCAAGATACAGAGAACGTTAACATTTCAGAAATCAGCTGGAGCGGTAGAGACACGGTGCCAGGGGTGTGCTTGTTTTAACCAGGGTTTTCTGGAGACAGGGATTTAACCCAAAGGAAGACAGACGTGGACTCTAGAACGGCCAATATTTTGGGGGTCTGGTCCTCCTCTCCACAGAGCTGGGTGTATGTCCAGTGCCCAGCTCTCCCCACCTTTGGGCCTGAAGCTTCTGCAGTGGGAAAGGGAACGAAGAGGCTGAATCGGGCCTCCTGGGGAGGGGGAGGGGACATCTCCGGTGACGCCATCACCCACAGGTGAAGATCCAGTGCCGTAAAGGGATCCCAACTGCCCTTCGTGCCCGCTGCTGGCCCTTACTATGTGGGGCCCAAGGCCGACAGGCCCAAAACCCCAACACCTACCAGGTGAGGCTCGGGGGTCCCCTGCTCCCCCTTCTCTCCCACGCCTCCTCTTCAAGGCCCCACCAACCCAGTTACCAAGGCCCTGGAGGAGAGCAGGGCAGGGGAAGAACGGGCGCCCTGATACGGTGTGGGGAGTAACCCTTCCCCAGATTTCCCTCAGCCAACCCCCTAGGAGAAGCTGAGCCCAGCATGGGGGCCAGAGCCTCTCCCAGGATTCCCGGGGGCAGGTCCAAACCCTCCATTGTGGCGCTCCTGCCCCGGCTCTGGCTCAGCCTTCTCTCCCCTTGCCTGCCCTTGGTTAACCCCAGGAACTGGTCTCAGCCCCGGGAGACCCTCAGTGGCTGGAGGCGATTGGGAGAGACCTGCATCGCCAGTTCCCCCTACATGAAATGTTCCTGTCCCCCCAGGGTCATGGGTAAGAGAGGCTTAAGCCCTGCCAGGCCACCTTACCTGGGCTGGTGTGCAGCAGGACTGAGCTGGGGTGGGGGGAGGGCCTCAGACTAGAAGTCCTCTAGTGGGAGGGATCCCGGACACCATCTAGTCCCCCGGGGTGGGGGCAGGGACTGCCCATGGTCACAGAGCACAGGGGTCACGGGGAAGAGCCCAGATTAGGCCCTGGTCCTGCCCGGTGCCGCCCTCTGCCTTCGGCCCGCAGTGTCTCCGTTTGGGGCCCAGAAGGGTCAGGAGTGAGCTGGTCTTGGGATCAGTGACCTGTGGGGTCGCGGCTGGGTCCCTAATGGGGTCTCCTGACGCAGGCAGCAAGGGCTTCTGAATGTGCTTAAGGCCTATACCCTGTACCGGCCTGAACAGGGCTACTGCCAGGCCCAGGGGCCCGTGGCTGCTGTGCTGCTCATGCAGATGCCCCCCGAGGTGAGCCTCTGGCCCCGGGGAGCCTCCCTCTCTCCCTCTCTGCTAGCCCTGAGAGGTCAAGCCAAACCTAATGAGTCCCCCAAGTCAGCTGAGAATCTCCCCTCCCTACTGAATGAGCCCATCCCTCCCAGCCTTGATGTGTTCTCCCCCTCCCCCTGTAAGCCTATCCCCCCAAGTCCTGATTGGTTCCTGTCCCCCAGTAAGCCCCCCCCAGCAAGCTCATCATTCACCCCTCCCCACCAAGTAAGCCCATTCCTTCCCCACTATGAACTGTGCCCCTCCACCCAGGCCCCAGGGAGCTCCCTCCCCTTGCCACACACCAATAAAGGAAGCCCCCCCACCACCAAAAATGATCTTGGGAAGGGGTCCCAGGATCTAGCTTTCTTTGTTCCCCTGGGGAAGGCCCCGATTTTCCCTTGTATTTCTGGCCCCTCCCTACCTCATCTCTTGCCTCCACAGGAGGCTTTCTGGTGTTTGGTGCAGATCTGTGAGTTCTACCTGCCAGGCTACTATGGGCCCCACATGGTGAGTGACCCCCACCTCCTGAGGGCCCCTTTGGGCTCTGGGCTGGAGGGGGTGCCATGGGGGAGTGTCGGTGATCTTGCATGAGAACAGAGGACGGAGGACTAGCCTCTGTGGTGAAGGGGGAGGGGAAGGGGGTGTGCGTTGAGGATGAAGGCTGCAGCCTCGAGGCTCAGCGTCCCTTCCTGGGCTGCCCCAAGGAGGCCATCCGGCTGGACGCTGAAGTGTTCTCAGCCCTGCTGGGCAAGCTATGTCCCCGGATCCACAAGCACCTACAGCAGCAGGGCGTGGGGCCCCTACTCTACCTGCCTGAGTGGTTCCTCTGCCTCTTCACCCGCTCCCTGCCCTTTGCCACCGTTCTGCGCATCTGGGACGCCTTCTTCAGCGAAGGTGAGCGGGTCCAAATGGGGCAAAGGGTGGAGGCCTTCCCCAGTGGGTGCTCAGAACAAGGGATGCCACCCTGCCCGGGGCAGAAGCACTGGGGACATGCACAAGTTTAGAAAAAGATGGGGGACAGCATCCTTACTCTCGAGGGGCTGCTAATCTAATGCTGGAGGGAGGGGGCAGGGGAAAGAATGCGTGCTCCTTGGGCAGCAGACAGGCCAGGCAGTGGTGGGGACAAAGACAAAGGCCCCCCCCTAACTCCACTCAGGCTATTGGAGGAAGCAGAGAAACTCTCAACTCGGTAGTCAGGGAAGGCTTCCTGGGAGAGGCAGCATGGAGCTGGGCTTTGAGTAAGGCCAGCATGGGGAAGTAGAGGCAAGGAGAGCCCAGATTTAGAACCAGAAGGGGCCTTCAGGGTCATCTGGCCCAACAGCCTCATTTCACAGAGTTGGGGAGCCATTTGTCCAACATTGCCCAGGTAGCAAGAGGCCCAGCTGGGGCCCAAACTCTGGATTTCTGACTCCAAGCCCAGCCGCCGCTCACGATGACCAGGTTGGGAGGCCAGCTGGGTTGGAGAAAGGTGACAAGAATGAGGCTGGAAAGGTCAGAGGGTGCCATGTGGACAGTCTGAGGCCAGGCGCCAAGTGGGGATTTTAGCTGAGCAGGGAGCAGGGCCGGTCTTGTGACCCGGCCTGGGCTTGAGAGGGATGGAGTCAGGGAGCCTGGAGAGAAAGAGCCCAGGGGAGAGAGATTGGGGAAGGAGGGGCACTCGACTTGGGACCTGAATGGAGGGGGTGGGGGAGGAGGATGCTGCCAGGGACTGGGGGAGTGGGGAGGAGGGGGGAAGGATACACCAAATCTGAGGGGCCAGCAGGGCGCTCTGGCCAGGATATGGTCAGTAAGCAGAGAAAGCAAGATCAACCTGAGATGGTGGTGAAGAGCCTGTCCCTGCAGCAGGACCCCTCCCCTCCCTGCTCTCTCTCCCTCCTCTTCCTCTCCCTTCCTCTCCCCCCTTTCTCCCCCCCCCCCTCCCCCCTCCCCCCTCCTCCCCTCCTCCCTCCTCCCCTCCTCTCTCCTCTCCTCCTCTCTTCTCCCTCCCCTCCCCCCTCTTGTTCCCCTCCCCTCATCTCCACTCCCCCACTGCTCCTACAGCTCTGGTTTTTTCCCCAGCCTCTGCCAATCCTTTGATCTCTGTTTCAGCATTCCATGCACCCAGCATCCCTTCAGTGCTTGCTCTGTGTTAGGCCTGTGTTAGGCCCTGAGGATATAAGGAACAAAGATGAATACTGTTCCTGTCCTTAAGGTGCTTACTTTCTGCTGGGGGGAGGGCACACAAAATGTCGATACATGAAATGGAAATATTGTTGCTTGCTTGTGTTTGGTCATTTGCATGTGGTCTTTGCCATTAGACTGAGAGCTCCTTGAGGGCAGGGACTGTCTTCTGCCTTTCTTTCTATCCCCCAGGCTTAGCACAAGGCCTGGCACACAGTAGGTGCGTAATAAATATTTATTGACTGATGAAAGGGAGCTGAAAAGGGGCTCGAGTGGGGGGAGGCTGCTCTGAGGCCCAGAGAGTGGACAGGAGGCTTGGACAGGTAAGAGTCTGAAGAGGGACCCAGGCTCCTAGTTCCCAGGCCCTTCCGCCGTGATATCCCCCACTCTCTCAGTCTTGACCCTTAGCGGGTTCCAGATGTGTCATGGAGCACAGACTCAGAGGATGCTTGGCGCATTTGGCCAGAAAGAGTCCAGGAAACTCACGGGATCTGGGGTTTGTGGCTCCTGGTCACTCCTGGTTGTTGGCCCTGTGCCCAGGGCAATGGGGGACCAGGAGCACGCCAACCCCAGGTTGTTTCTTCATCGAGGTGAAGTCGGATAGCTCTCCAGATCCCTCTCTGGGGTCAGCCTGCCCTGAGCTGGCGTCTACTTGTCCTTTCTCCTGACAGTGACCTTTGGCAGGGATGGAGGGAGATGAGGAAGGCTTCCTGAAGGAGGGGACTCTTGAAGGATGTGTGGGGTTCTAGGAAAAATGGGAAAGCGTGCCAGGCAAGAAGCATGGGCAGGGAGGCAGGAATGAGCTTGGTGGATACAGGGGAAACTGAGGCACCCTGGCTGGAGCATGGCGGATAGGTTGGTGATGAGGTCAGAGAGATGAGGCGGGGCCAGTCTGAAAGGGAAGTCTCCAGTGGCGTGCCCTAGAAATCTGTCCTCTATTGTTTAGCCCTTGTATCAGTGACTTGGAGAAAACATAGATGTCAGGCTTATCACGTTTGGGGATGACACGAAGCTGGGAGGAAGAGCTATGTGCTGGGTGATGGCCAGGATCCGAAAAAGACAGGGCAAGAATGATGGTCCAAATCCAAGAGGATGAAGTTGAGCGGGGATAAATGTAAAGTCTGCCACTTGGATCCAAACGTGTAACCTCCCAAGCACCAGATGGGGGAGGCACAGTTAAACAGCAGTTTGTCTAGAAAGGGTCTGGGGGGGTCTTAGTGGACCACAAGCTCAATGTGAGTGTCATCATATGGCAGTCACAAAAGTGAATGTGACCTAGGGTTGCGTTGAAAAACAGAAGTGGGGGCAGCTAGGTGGTGCAGTGGATGGAGCACTGGCCCTGGAGTCAGGAGGACCTGAGTTCAAATCCAGCCTTAGACACTTGACATTTACTAGCTGTGTGACCCTGGGCAAGTCACTTAACCTCAATTGCCTCATCAAAAAAAATAAATAAACAAATAAACAAACAAACAAACAAATAAATAAAAGGAGAAAAAAAGTATTAAAAATGACAGAGTCAAGATGAGAGCAGAGACTTCCTAAGGACTCAAGGTATCCCACAGTGGAATGGGCTTCTGGGGAAGGTCACGAGCTCCTCTTTCCTGGACGGCTTCAAGTCGAGTGGATGGCCACGCCGGAGAAGGGCTTCCTGTTCAGGGGAGGCGGGGAAGGGGAGGGCTCCTCTGAGCTATTCTGTCTCTCCAGGGGTGAAGGTCTTGTTCCGGGTGGGGCTGACCCTGGTCCGCCTGGCCCTGGGCACAGCTGAGCAACGCAAGGCCTGCCCCGGGCTGCTGGAAACGCTGGAGATGCTGCGTTCCATCCCGCCAGCCCAGCTGCAGGAAGACCCGTTCATGGCCCAGGTGGGTGGTGGCTCTGAGCCCCGGCCCTGGAGGCGGGGGCAGCATCCCCTGCATCCCCAGCCCTCCAGGCCCTCCTCCAGCCCCGCGTCTCTCAGCAAGCTGTCCCCACAGGTTCACGCGGTGGCTGTCTCGGAGCGAGACCTGCAGCGAGAGAGCCTCACTCAGCTGGCCAAGCTCCAGAAGACTTCCCCGGAGCTGCAGCTCAGACCCAAAGACCGCTTGCCCGGGGCCCCGGCCATCTTTGAGGCCCAGCAGCTGGCCGCCACCAAGCCACCAGACCTCGAGGTCCCCCGCATTGTGGTGCACCCCCCAGAGGAGCCGCGTCCCCGAAAGAAGCCACAGACCCGGGGCAAGACTTTCCATGGGATGCTGACACGATCGCGGAGCCCCCAGACAGACGGCCCTTCGAGGCCCCACCGGGCCTCATCCTCCTTCCTGGACACAAGGTTCTGAGAGACCTCCCTGGGGCACCGGGAGAGAGGGGACTCCCTGGGAAGCTTTGGAGGGCCTGAGTTTGAATCCTGCCTCCTCCCTCTAGCCTTGGCCACACCCCTCCCTTCTCTGGACTCAGTGGCCTCTTGTGTAAAGTGACAGGGTCCACTCTAAGGTTTCTTCGATTTCTGTATCTAGGATGTGATAAATCAGAATGCTGAGGTCATGGGTCTGAATTCCACTTGCCTCTTGGGGGAGAGTGTCTCCCTGCATCCCTCCCCCATTCGTGGCTCTCAGAGACATATCTGCAGCCTAGGGATCTGTCTCTGATGGCCTGGGGGTGGGCTGGGGATGCCCGTCCTGGCCAGAAGGGGACAGACCTCAGTTACCGCACCTCCCCTCTTGGCCCCTCCAGAGTCCACCAGCCTGTGTTCTCATCTCTGGGCACCTTCAGGGACCTGGCCCAGAGTTTGGCTTAAAGGCTCCAGCAGTAAGAATGGGTTGGGCAGAGCTAAATTCTAGGGTTCTGCTCTTGAGAGCTCCACAGCCAGCCAGGGGTCATCACTGTGGCCCCAGATCACTGTGTGAGGTCAGACCAGTCCCTTCTCCACTCCTGGCCTCAGTTTCCCCTTCTCTGCAAGGAGAGAGTTGGACTGGATCAGCCTCCATAGTGGGAGAGCAAAGGATCCCAGGACTCGGGCATGAGGCCTTTTGGACACATTGTAGGTGCACAATAAAGGCTGGACCAATTGAATCTATTGGGTGGAATGGTCTTTTTCTCCTCCAGAACATTCCAAATGGAATGGAGTGTGTCTCAAAAATCCTCAATAGTTAGGACTTGGGGGAGGTGCTATGAAAAGGGGATAAATGTTATCTCTTGTGCTTCAGAATTTCTTTGAAATCTTGGAGAAAGGACTTCCTTCCTCTCCAAGGACCCCTCCCCTCTCCCCAGGGTTCCTGGGCTCTGTCAGCACCTTTCCTTGGCTGTTAATGGGGTTAATGATGCCTGCCTGCTCACCCCAGGGGTCTTTGTGAAGCTAAATGAGAAAGGGGGCAGACAAGTGGACAGGAGGGGGCTTTTCTCCAACATGGTGTAAACGGCCACTAGTATAACGTTATTGCTGGTTTTGTGGTTATTACCAGGGGCCTGCTCAGGCCAGGCCTGCCCCTCTCCCTCCTTTCTGGAGCCAACACTCATTTACTGAAGTTGACATCATTCTGGACCAGGGGACAGGAGACCTAGGTCCCAGGCCAGTCTCTGATACTCTGGCTGTGTGATTTCTGCTAGGTCTCTTAACCTCTCTGGGCTTTTGTAAAATGAGGAGATTGAGCTAGAGGTTCAGTAAGGCAAGATCACCCCCCTGCTCAAGGTGGCCCTCCCCACCAAAGCAGCTGACATCTTCCACCTCTGCCAGCTCCAGATGGAGGGCTGGGGCTCTCCAGGCTCCCAAACCACCACCTCCTCCCAGTAGGGCTGGCTGAGAGGACGGGGAGGGGGGCTCTGCTTGGACCTCCTACGCCCCCCTTCCCAGAAAGCCAAGGTTGAACAACGACCCTGTGTGTGAGAGACAAAGGAGAAAGGCCCAAAGGCTACCCCCTCTTCCACGTGCCCCCCCCAGAGCCGCCTGGATGAGACCCAGAGGCTCTGCCTGGCAGGCCCAGGGTCATGCCCACCTGCCACCTCCTCTCTCCCTCTCACCCTAGCCCCTAGACGATGAGCTCCCCGCCAGTATCATGGAAACCCTCCCTGGGCTCTGGCTCCCTAATTGCCACTGGGCCCACTAGGCCTCATGAGGGTTCCTCATGGCTTCACTGTTGCCAGAGTACTGGTTGTCGCCAAGGCAATGAGGCTGGTTCCCTTGAGACCCCTGTCTCTCGTCATCCCTGCCAACCTGTCCCCTCACCACCACCCCGGGCCAGCCAGGCTATAGGAAATAACCCCTATTTACAAGTGGGGAAACTGAGACTCAGAGAGAGCGACTTGTCTAAGCAAGTCAGACAAGTGAGCCAAGCCTCGACCCCGGGTCTCCCTCGATTCCCGTGCCCAGAGCTCAGTGTCTTGCCAGGCTCTGCCTCCCTGGTTCCCAGACAGCAGAGGGGCTGCTGCTGAACCAGAGCAAGAAGGGTGAGGCTGGGCGAGCCCAGAGTCCAGGCCCTTGATCAGGTTTCCCCACTTCCCACAATGCAAACAAGTTCTAGAGCACAAGCACGCCCCGAAAAGCTACACTCCCTTCCCTGCACTGGCCTGGGCAGGCCTGGGTATAGGCCTTGGAGGTGAAGCCTGGCTTGTGGGAAGGAGGCCGGGGACCCCCTGCATCTAATTAGGATGCCATCCTCCAGGCACTGATGAGAGGAATCGGCGAGATCTCTAACTAGGCCATCGTGACCTATGCTGTGTCCCAGGATGCCACGATTCAGAAGGGGCAGTAACAACACCTTCGATCCTTAAGTAGCAAAGTGACTGGCCCATCACTGGCCTTGGAGTGCTCCATGGTCTCCACTGCCCTCTTGAAGGGAGCTTGTGCCCATTTGCCTCACGCACAACAGTTGTTCTTGGGCCTTTTGAGCGTTATGTTCCATTCTAGGCAGCACATGGCAAACTCAGCATGACTCAGCAATGAGATATGGCAGCTGGAAAGCCAAAGCAGTCAGCAGGCTACTCCCAGGTATAGGGCTTGGGGAGGAGGAGGGGACGGGGCTGTCTTTGGCCCTGGTCAGATCCCCTATGGAGTATTGTACTTTGGTCTAGGGGCCACATTGTCGGGAGGATGTCGGAAGTCAGAGGGAGACCAGTGTGGTAGGGCTACAACCATGGCCTGGGCAGGGATGTGTAAGTGGGAGAAGAAGCAAGAGAAGGCATTCTTGTCTATGAATGGAAAAGGGGTTCTCCTCATTCTGCTTGACCCCTGGGGACAGATCTGGAGGGAAGATGCAAAGGGGCTCTGGTTTCAGCTGAATGTCTGGAGCCCCTGTTCTCCGTCTGAGCTACCCACCAAGGGGCCTGCCCTCTCCCAGGCTCTAGACAGTGACTCTAGGCCCACTTGCCTGGACATCGCAGCTCTGGGGATTCTTCAAACCTGGGTGGGACTCGAGGTCCTCAAAGGTCCCTTCTATCTGTGGAACACTGGGATTCTGTGATTAGGCACTCCTGGACCCCAGACCAAGCCGTCTGCACTCTGGACAGCCTCAAAATGCACCCTGAGCAGCAGTGGGGCATCCTGGACAGGGTTTTTGCTTTTGAATAGAGTCAGAAAGCAACACAACAAACACTACTCGTGTATCTGTGTGCCTTGAAGCAAACCAACTTTTGGCCTCAGCTGCCCCGGATAGCAACAATTCTCTGCCTTTGTAGGGTCCCAGGTCCAGAGCTGAAATGGACCTTCGAGGGCATTGAGTCCATTCGCCTTATCTTCAGATGAGGTCCAGACAAGTGACTCGCCCGTGTTCGTTCACATAGCCTATAAGGGTCAGAGGTAGGTTTTGTCTCCCAGACATAGACATAGGCATAGGCATAGATATAGGCATAGGCATAGGAGTAGGTGTAGGCATAGACATAGATACAGACATAGACATAGGCATAGGCATAGAC